CATCATAGTTTTGATAAGCTTCCAAAAATCTTGCCATGTCTACATCTGACCATTTTCAGCCATTTTTTCCCTAAATTACAGTTGGACGCACTAAAAAAAAACAACTTTATACACGCTAGAACTACTCTACTCAGCTTTCGGCACGTTGTGTTTCTGTTCAACGAGGTGTTTACACCTTCGATTTCAGTCATTCGACATCGATTCGGCGACAATCGCCTATCAAAAGTAGACAGTCTTTCTACTTCCATCCAATCGACTCACTCCGTCGAATGGCCAAGTCGATTTATGGTTTACATATTCAATTTGCTTTCGATTTAATAATCGATCTAAACCGTTCAATCCAGATCGACCCGTAAAAACGCGCCTTAAAGGCGCGTTTTCGCGGATCGATCTGAGTTGAACGATTTGGATCGTTTGACCATCATTCGATATGTGCCGAAAGCAAAAAGGTTTACACGACAGTCGATGAATGTTAAATTAATTGTAATTGATAGAGAGAAAAAATCACAAATTTTATTAAAATTATCTATATTTTATAAATGTTAATATGATTTGGTACATTAATTTGTAAATGTAATATTTTCGAAGTAAGATTTTACATTAATAAATAGTCTATTTATAAATACACTATTAAGATGGTATTTTCTTAAATAAAACTTTGAAAACAATTAGGACCAAATTACAAAATAATAGATTAAAAACTAGAACCAAATTAAATGTATCAGCGATAACGGAACTGTTGACTTGATCTACTGACAACACTTATTTTATCTAAACAATGATTTCTATAAACAAAATTTTTGGGCTGTGCTTTAAATCCATTATTACCTAATATATTGGCTATGGAAGACTTCAAAACAAACATTCCTAATTAAAATTTTGGATAATTCAAAACAAAAATTCCTAATTTAAATAATTAAAACTTATTATCCAACATCTATTTTAGTAAAAAATGATTATTTCAGTCGTTCGACATCGATTCGGCGGGAATCGCCTATGAAAAGGAGACAGTCTTTCTACTTCCGTCGAATCGACTCACTCCGCCGAACGGCCAAGTCGATTTATGGTTTACATGTTCAATTTGCTTTCGATTTATTAGTCGACCTAAATCATTCAACTCAGATCGACCCGTGAAAACGCGCCTTAAGCTGGACGGTCCAGATCACAGACCACTAATAACTAGACGTTTCACGTAGGTAGCTCAAGGTCACACCAAACTTAATGTCATTTGTAGTACCGATACAAATCTTCAGATGTCGCTTTACTCTGTATTTACCTTTACTCTATAGTTTAGGTTTAGAACACAACTAAGAATTATAATTGTCAATCGCCAATTGTCATATTAGCGTCTATATTTTGATTTTGTTAAATTGTAAATTACAAATCCCCTACCTCAGTGATCTGTGGTTTTAAATGTTCCTGGCGGTGTTCAAACAGTATTTTGCAGATTAATAATAATTAGTTAAATATGGTTCTTCACAATAAATGTTGTATCCTACAATGTACCAATTCGTCATTAATTAGACATGCCTTTCCAAATCCTGATAAAGATTTAGGAAGTGGCTTAGTGTTATAAATAATCCTAATTTAGATATGATGAATGCTAGTACAGTTTTTAAAACAAAACGAGTCTGTCACAGACACTTTGAAAATAAGTTTGTTTCTTCATGGAGTCATAAATTGTATAAAAATGCAATTCCTAGCTTACATTTTTGTATGGTGAGTCCAATAAATATTTGATATTAGAGAACAAATAACTGAGTGATGATCGATAAATATATATTTCAGTATCACATGCAGAAACTTAAATGTAATAGTTCGTAAGGATTTATTATTTAAATTTAAATTTTGGAATACATTGTGTATTTTATTATCTTTTATTTTGTGATATTGACGATTTATGTAATTTCAGTAAATTTTAAATTGCTATTTTTCTGACTTTTTGTAAGCTTTGTCCATAAAATTGTACAATTTTCAGTGGTAATAGCATATTTTTATTCTATTCTAAATTACAAAGTTGTTTTACCTGTGTTAAATAAATAAATAAATTACATTTGGTTTTATTTTTTCCTAAATTTTCCTGTGTATATTTGAATTTAAAAATGTCAAATGCATTTTTTTTTTTCAAATATACCAAATTATATTTAAATATTTTAAGCTTTATTTAAATTTTCCCACCAAAATTAAAATTTGAAATTCCCGCGTAATTTCCCGCTTGAATTAGTTCCGATACAAATCTTATGGAGCGCTGAATTTCATATCCAACTAAAGCATTGTCGTGGAACATCTAGGAGGTAGGTGATCTGTGGTCCAGATTCAATCCCGACCCAGAGACCAGAAATTGTTCACTGTTCAATTTAGTTCAACTTCAGTGAGCCGCCACTGTACTTTTGAGAGTACTTGGTCCCGTTTATGTAAGTAGTTGTTAGCACTAGTAGCACAGTAGTTTGTCTTGCAAAAGTCGTCTACAGTACGTCTATGGTAAGAGTTATAACAAAAAATGGCTTCGGAAAAAAATTTTTATAGTAGGTACTATAATTTTTACAATTTTGATGACTTTCTATATTTTTGTGGCAGGTAAAAGAATGCTAAACTCTTGATTTAATTGTAGTATTATTTAATGATATTATAAATAACTATTTTAATAAGTGGAGCTTGTTTAACTATGCTTAACAATAACTAAAAAAATTTAGTTATAAACAATTAGTTATTGCTTAACAATAACTAAACATTTTCCAGTTTATGTTCTTATTTTGAAAATATATCAGATAATAGTTTTGTCTTTTATTTATTTTCGAATATAATGTTTAACTCCTGCATATTTCAGTATTGAAACGCCCATGTGTCTTGACTTATTCGGAAGGTCAAAGTAATTATCGAAAATTTATACAATAAGCCACGGATGCAGCAAATTCTGATTAGCTAACAAGGAATAATCAATTATCCATGTTGTCCTGTCACTAAGTCACTACTTTATTAACACCTCTGATTTATGATTTCTTGTCCAGAATATTAATTTTAAAAAGAACAGCAAACTTAAGTTTTAAAATATTGTTTAGTTTACAGTTTAGTCACACCATTTTAATAATATACGAATAACGAAATACAGTATATTTACCTAATAATAATAGAGGAATAATAATATTTTATGATGTAAAATTACGCCAAGTGAGAAGCTGCATATGAACGAAAATCTAAAAATTGGTGTCTAAGTACTAAATATACTACTACCGAAAATCAACAATAAAAGTATCTATATATGAAAAGAAATTGAGAATTGGGAATCAAAGAGTTTATTACACCAACCACAGAGCTCTTATTAACGATCTGGTTTTCAGTCCGACATAGAGTCGGTTAGTCGAACAGAAGCTATGCCAAGTTGAGGAGGCTATATGTGATGCTTTAAGATTCATTCATTCTTGAAATATCAGGCAGATTCCTGCTCGGCACCTCCTGCTCGTGCTCTTGCTACTTTCAAACGGGATAATTCTACACCGTGAACTGACAATTAATAGAACTTTGTCCAGATAGGGTATAAGCAATACGAGCCTAGTAGGCTCATGGCTTGATGTATTATTCTTATAAACTTCCTATTGTCAGTTGCTTTTCTTTTCCAGTTCGTTACGTAAGTCTTCTCATATCTTCTTTAACTTCATTTCTCCACCTTTACATCGGTCGTTCTTTTAGCCTTTTACCTGAAACTGTACGAGATCGTACGATTAAGGGATTTCTAGATGGAATCAACAGAGAGATATCGCAGAGTCAATTTTGGACTTGCTGTATTAAAGCACGTGTTATTTTGACAGTAGAGCATGCGCAGATGTAATATTTGTCTTACGCTGCGTTATTGAAAATACGGCCTGCCGTTATTAGGAGAGCCGTTACGCTGTGCGGAATTCGTTGCGCTATTTTCTTTCTCAGGTTATATATGTTGTTTGTCTTTCATTTAAACCAAGTTTATTTGTAATAATTTTCTAAAATGAGTACATCAGAGAGTAGCATAATGCAAAAATATAATTAATAATTTGAGATAATGATTGAGGTGACAAATTGAATAAAAGCTGAAGATCTTTAAGTCTGCTGGGATATGCGAGCCTTCTCATCACTACTAAAAACAAAAATATAAGGGCTTAATTTCAAAAGCAGGCGTAAAGACCTTGCAAGTGTAGGAATATCTTGTCTGTAAACCTAAAATTTATTTTTACATCTCTTTCAACATGTTTTCTAAATTAAATTCTTAATTTTTTGGATGTAATACATGTTCACCTACAATGTTATTTAAAATGATGAACTCTACATCATCATCATGAGCATTTGCTATAATAAGTACTTCTAATTCATGTTCAATTTTTAATAATTTGCGAACAAATGAAAAGAAAACATAAACAACGTAAATAACGCAACAAAGTATGCATAAGTTCAAGCAATATCTCCATTTGTGATGTGTCAGCCATATGCCAAAACTGTCGAAATAGCGCGGTGTAAATAGTGCAACGCAGGCACTGTTAACTTTGCAATAACTCTCTATTATATGCACATGCCACAACCATTTAAGTCTTTTGTACCTTAATTACTGTTAATATGTTGAGTTCTTGATAGAGGTCCGTTAGCTTGTTATTTGTTCTTCTTAACCATGGGTCATTTAAGTTTTCCCAAGCACACGTCACTATGGGCCTTATTATGGTCTTGTATGGACTTAGTGCTATTCGAGATATATGTTTGCTTCTTGACAACCCATTGAAAGCACGCATAGTGTGGTTGTCAGACATAATTCTTTTCTGCACTTCTTCTTTACAGTTAGATTCTCTTGTGAAGACATTTCCTAAGTACTTAAATCTTTCAAATTATGCTTCGAATTTATATTGTGTTCCGTTTGCTGTTGTCACTGTTATGTACTGCCCCAAACGAATTGCTTATTTGTCCATTCCCTATACTTTCTTTAGCAAAATCAACCAGAATATATACATTTTCGTTAGTCTCTGTATTTAAACTGTGCTTACCTCTAGTGGGCATTATTATTTCTTCTTTGTGTATTTTGGGCATTAGTGTCTACAAAAATAATCTTTATATTATACTTGGGCACAGCCTCATATACTTCATCTAATTTGCTATAAAATAGCTCTTTTTCTTTCGAGTTTGTATGTTTATTTACAATTTTTTTGTTATTTACTTTTTAGTTTGAAGGTGCACAACCCATCCGATATTGCTTTAAAGTTTAAAACAAATTCTTTTAATATTATGCTTATTATAAAACCTCTATTTCGTGGGTACACTGTCCCAATTGTTTTGTCTCTTGTAGAGCTACTAGATAAAACTTATATTTCCTAACTTTGTTTATTAAATGCTTCAGTTTTCCTTCTCTTCAGTTTTTCTATTATTTTATTTTTATTTTTATTAAATTATTTTTTACTTTCTTTCGTGTCCCTATTTCTTGCCCTGTCGTTTTTGTCGATTGTCGATTTACATTCGTTTGCATATGATTCTAGTTATATAAAATTATAGCGACTTTTATTTATAGGCTACAGCAATTTTTTAATCTACCCCATTGGAGAAATAATTTGCTTATTTTTGCAAAATTGTATGTTTATATTAGCGTTTAATTTGACTCTTCTGTCATAATCCGGTCTTTAGTAATGACTATTATCATCGCAGTAAACTGGATTAAAATTGACTTATTCGACAATGTTTTAGATATAATATAAACATATTTTTTAAGCTGGTTTTGCCACTGTTTTCTTGTGGCATGTACAAGTTGAATAAGTTATATATTATTATGTTTATATGACACAATTGTTCCAATTGATTCCACTTGCCGCTTGATTCAACTTGATTTTTCCACTGCCACTTTCTTATGTATAACCCGCTAAAAACTTATTGGTGAAATATCTGATTTTACAATTTTTGTCATTTAAAATCTAATTTACACTAAATCAATTATGACTTAATCCCATATAACCTTAATATTTAATATTTTTAAAGCTCCTTTGAAATTTTGAAAAACACAATTGAAATTATTAAAAAATTTTAACTCGTCTGATTTTGTCAATATATGTAATTTTTTAAACCGTAACATTCTGTGTGAAGGGTTATTTTTGTAATTTTGCTAAATCGTGACTACAATGTCGTAACTAAAGGATTAGCTGTCAAAGAGCGACTGCCACACGGTAAAGAGTTACAAGTCAATTAGTTGTGGTGGGAATAGATAATGAGATTATCTCTTAAACAGTCTACAGTAAAAGATACAATCTTAAATTTAACCAGTCAATTTGTGAGTTATACTAAATAAATATATTCCCCATAAATTATTTTAACTTATTCAGTTAAAATCCAATTGAAAATCAATCAGTTATGGTTACCAATATTGAAAGAACGGCCCTGTAAATACTTTTAGTAAATTAACAATTTAACAATTTAAGTTAACAATTTCTAAAACTCTGGAAAACAATTATGATTACATTGTACATCAGATGAATGGGAATTTTATAGTATTACACTGATAATAACTGAAAGTCAAGGAAAATAATGGTTCCAAACAAAGTAATTATGAAATTCCTTATAAATACAGAATTTTCTTAATTGACTTTCGCCAATAAAGTCAGCACCGTGAAGCTTAATGTACACATGACCAAATGTCCACGGAGCACGGACGTGCAGTCAAACTGTCATTTTCTTAATTAAGTAAAGGTATGTATCGTTAATTTTATGGATAGCAAAAAGGTGTTACATTAAAAACGACAATAAAGTTTATTTAGCAAACATAACAACTTCCTATTCTTCTTAATATTATTCTAGACTGGTTTTATAGTTTATAGTTATATAGTTTTATAATTTTCTTAAGAATAAAATACGAATGTTGATAAGTTAGTGAAGATTAACTGGCCAGTTGGTTGTCAAAACCAGTGCCAATAAAACACACACACACACACACACATAAGTTAGTGAAGAGAAACAATATTCAGACGTACCATTGGTTAAATAAAATAATATTTTTTATATTAAAAACAGAATGGTTAATATTGAATTTAAAATTAAGGTCAAGACTTTGCTCCTACTTTTCGTCATAATTTTAAAATCGTCGTAAATTATTGAATATAATAGAACCTGTGGTATTAATAAAAAACAACTGCATCAATCATTGTTTGACGAATTGCAAAATTACATCTAATATTTTACCTAAATATCTTCAGTGAACTGTATTAGTACCAAAAAGTGACAATCAAGATTAAATATTTGACATTAACACAGTTATACCGTTGATTGAATAATCCCAATCAACGGTTATACAGATTACAGAACGGACAAAAAAAAAACACGGAAAAGAGTGCATGCTATCCTACTTTTTTTTTATTTATTTTAAGTTAATGATGCTCATAAAAAGGATGTACAAAATCAATGATAATTACGTTAACTATACTTTCGCTTCGCATATAACGTGGACTATCATGAAAACTACTAATTCTACATAAAACCATTCAAATCTAATCTGGCGGTGTTCTCTAAGACACAAAAATCTGTCACCCTAATGATACACAAGAAATCGATGAGCAAAATGTTTCTTTCTACTTAGCTAATCTCTTTAAAAATTGATGCAAGCGTTAATGTCGAAACAAAAATCTAATAAACGTTTAAAGCTGTCAATAGAATAAGATCAATCATAACAAATTTCGGATTCATCCTAGAAATTTTAATTTAATTCGGGCGTTGTTATGTTCTTCCTTCATTTTCTGCTAAATTTGGACTTTCGATGCCTTAAAAGAAAAAAATATTATTATTTGGAGGATTTCGAATTGTGGTTTCAAATGTTATATCAAGGGAAGAACATTTTCTCGTCTAGGCCCTGTCTCTATAGATTCACAATCCTATGTGAGTCTTTGCAGCCTGTACGATTGGCCTCCATCTACTTAGGTCCGTCATAATATATTCCATCCAGTCGTAATTTAAATATTTTAATCTGTCATCCCTCCATCTGAGTCTGGTTCTCTCTAAGGGTCTCTTGAAGACTAGATTCTCCTCTCGTATCTTTACAAATATTACAAATGTTAGTTATACTTGGTTGCCCTTATATACTTTCCAATTCTTTACTTTTTCTCATTAGATATTACTCAATTGTCATAAAAAATAAAGTATAATCTATTATTATCAGTATTTTGCATAAAAAAACACCGTTATCTGAGCCGTTATAGCTGACTTAATATTCTATATATTCGGATCGTCAATATTTTAGATAGCGTATTTAGTTTTATTATATCTTGTAGTACATAGAAATATGTTATATTTTTGCATTCGAGCCCGTAATTCTCGAGTAATATTGTTGTCGTGAATTATAATAGCACCCAAAAACTGGAACATATTCAAAATTGTATGTGTCCAGAGTTATATTTTGGCCTATTTTCTTTCTACCTCCTCTACAACTGCCTAACACAATGTAAGAAAATAGTAGTTCTTTGTTTCAAAACCCTGCTAATGGATAAACTTTTGGTGGTATGTTTCCCTAATTTAACCTTGGCAGTTGAATTCTCAATATATGTTATTTCTGTGATTTTCTCAGTTTAATTCCGCGTTGAATAAATTTTTGTTTTGAAAAAAGTCTTAATTTTGACGACGTTTCTTTCTCTCGGCTGTTTCTTGGCAACACTTCTTGTGATTGGCCCTGCGCGTGTATATACGCATCGGTCTTGTTGCCTGATGTATTTTCGTATTTTTTGCAACACCGTTTTCCATGTAATTGAAAGCCTTTTGGCATCATCTATTTGATTTTTCAGCAATGGTTCTTTAAAAAATATATATTCAACGGGTAGTTGATCTGGAAAACCACAGAAAATACATATGGTTCCCTCAGAGAAAAAAAACGGGCGTGGCAGTCCAGTGGGACTGCCGGTAGAAGTTAAACTTCTATACACGCGTTCGCCGTTACAAATTTATATGGGAGTCAAACTGCACAATCATTACATATTTAATACTATAGGTAAGAGAGAGCAGAAAAATATGGTGCATCGTTTGCTGTATATAAACATTTGACCTGTAATAGGAGTATAGTAAATGAAGGATTGTATCAATATATTAATGAAAATATATATTTTTATTTTTTATATATGTATAAAAGGAATTGAATGCAAAAAAAAATTTTTCACATACTCTGCAGTAAAATTCGTTGTTTATTTTGTTATTTATATAAAAATTACAATAGAATACACTGCAACATAATTGAATATAATAATACAATGCAAATTAAAATGCAATATTCATAAGTATTTAAAACTCCCAATATACATAACTTACTTTACGAAGATGAAAATAAAAAACCAAAAACTCGGATTATGTTGTAATTTTCAGTTTATTTTAAAATTTACCATTTTTGCGTATACTAAATATATTTAATAACATTAACGTAAGGTTTTTAAATATTTTAAAAATAAAAAAGGAAATTCATATTGGGATTCGAACTCACTTACACCAGCGTATGAACCAAACACGTAAAAGATTTATCAATTGGACATAACACTAACGGATTTCAAAATTGACAGTTGTCTGTCATACAGTGATTATTTTGAAATACAAAAGCCTAAAATAATTATGAACATTTAATAAATAATACAAATATCACATAATAATATTAATATATATTATATAATATTATATAAATAATATATACATAATATTAAATATAATATATACAAAAGGAACATTTTTATTCTCGAGAGAGAAAGAGAGAAATATCTTCTGTCTCTCTCTTACTCTTTATCTTACATATGTAATGGTTTCACATATTCACTCCTGTACAAATTTCCAACGTCGAGCGCGCGTATAGAAGTATAACTTCAAAAATTAACAATTCTATTGTGAATTATCTTTAATATTATAGGATGATTTCCCGGTTTTGTTTCGGTAATAGATGTGACTGTTTATTTTTATTCAATTTTATTATTTTAAGAGTATCATAATGCTAGATATCTTCAATATTTATAATAATTGGACGTACCTTTAAGGAAAATAGATACAACGACCAATTAATA